AACTTGGAAAAGACTCAGAAACTCATTTCCATACAAACAGGAAGAGCTCGAAATAATCACTGGAGTTAATTGGACGGCAGATTCTAGTGACTGTGCCTACCACATCAGCTGGTGTCATGATTCCTTCTATTTTCTGGCCCTTCCTACTCTTCGTCACATGCTCATATACTTCTAGTACTATTAGCAAAACAATAAATAAAATACTGTATGATTGCCACTACTAAACTACCTTTCCCTCACACCGAAGAAACTTCTTACCCCTACCCACCCGCCAAATAAAAAAAGCTTTCAATACATGACTGTTGCGAGAACATGATTACAAAAGTCATCACCATCATCTACAATCATATTTTCACCTGTTCATGTGGTGTACATCTGTGGGTTGTTGGCAATACACTTGATTGCAGTGTGGGAGATTCCAGGTTCGCAACGAGCCCTGTCATCTTTGTTCTCTTAAGCGAATATGCCATGCAATCCCAAAACCTGTGTGAACGCTATTGCCTCTTATAATATTATCTTCTTTATAAGTCTTTTACCTTTTTAAGTGCGCAACATACTAATGCAAAACCCAAGAACATACATACAATAGTCAGAAGAGCAATATATATATATAAAAAATAATAACTCAAAGATCTTGAAAAGCGTACCAACATGCTTTTATACTGCGACCTAATGTGCAAGCAGTAGACCACCCCACCACAGGTAAGAAATGAGAAATTTTGAGGGCTATTGAACACTGAATTTTCGCAGCTGAATAGTATAAAGTTATTTAGCAGTGTTCAATAGCCTTCAAACTCACTTCTGTCTGTGGGTTACGGTGGTCCAGTAGAAAAAGACTGTAACACAAAAACAGTGCAATACAGGTTGGACTAAGATTTTTTTTCAGTATTTTTAAAAAATCTTTTAAGGTTTGCATCATTTTATGCATTTTGGAAAAACATAAAAAGATCTAAAGATGCCATACATCTATTAACTAGACAGCACATAAAGAGTGTCTATATTAAAAATGGGTTTTAGCCTATAAGTATACTACTACTAATACCACTGGTGTACATTTAAAAATAAGATTAAAAATCTGCCACTTCAGGGACAATAGCTTCCCAGTCCAACCAGTCCAGTATGAATTTTGATACTGCTTAAATTTCATACACAGTATGTTGGGGGTTTTTATTCTGTTCTTTTCAGTTGGCAAAGCTAACATCTCAACAACTGAACAAGATAGGGGATTCGTTTTATGGATGTGAATACTAATTTTTACAGGGCTTTTTAAAAGAGGATCGAAGAGATGGTATTTGTTTACCGAGCGCTCAGAAAACTGTTTGAATATTCTAGTGGGAAACACAAAACAGTTTCCATCATTATAATTACATCCACTTACTATAAATAAAATGACACCCTCCTTACGCACAAAAGTTGGTCAGTTTTTCCATTTATGCTTGCATATTTCAGCTTTCACCCATTCCCTAGCATGGATGTTTCATTGATGGCTGAGGGTAACACTTCAAAATGAACTAGCTAAACAAACTTCCCAGCAGCACTTGACAGAGCTACACCTATTCTTCCCCATTTCCAAAGCAGTACAGAATTAATTACCAGTTCTATGGATCTATTGTAAGTATAATAGACTAAAGAGCTATCACAGACACATTTATTGTAAAAGCACAATCCCAAGAGTGTCTAGTAGAGGGCCAAAACGATTAACACAAATGCTTTGTCAGATCAAAGATAAAACCTGCACCGCCCAATTGAGGAATGAATTAGAACAGTGGGTTATCTTTCAAATTAACCAGGGCAGTTAGTGAGGAAAATTTCATGAAAGTGTAATTCTTAGCCTTTGTGAATCCACACAGCAGGCATTCTGCCAGCTGACAAGATGATGAAATTTTCATGCTTAAAAAAGCCCTCTTCATTTCCCAATTTAGATTAGCTAGCGTTTCTCTCTCTTTTCATCTATTTGCTCTTCTGAAGCAGAATTAAAAAAAAAAAAAAAAGCACACAACAGGATCAATCTCTCACAGAACAATGCATTTCTGAAAAGAAACAAAATCTTAGCATGTCATTTTTTAGATATATTTACAGTTAGGAGTAAGATTATCAAAATTGATATTGTTAATACCATTAAGAAATCCGTAAATACTGGAGCAATGGTAGATATGTTTTGAAAGATAGATATAAAACATTTCAATGTTTAATGGCAAAAAATGATTGTGGAAATAGAAAATTTTATATAAAGGCAAGTAATGTACTAAAACAATGGGATTGTAGGAGGCTTACAAAATTCTGTTTACGCACTTACATTTGCATTTTTTTCAAGGAAAGTAGAGTATCACCATTGTATTTCTTTATTTGTCAGTTTCAAGTGCCAAAATGGGCAAGTACATTTTTTCACTTTTAGATTTTATGGCAGTCCCTGCCATCTCTAAATTTACAGAGCTACATATAAAAGCATTTCAATATACTAAAGGAGACAACATGCAATGATCCTAAACACTTTTAAAAAAATTTGATTCAAAGCTCACTGAAAAAAATTAAGCTTATTCATTTCAGTGAGCTGTGGATCAGGCCGAAAGGCTCCTGACAGGGCTGTGTTCATAAAAGGTAGCTCATCATTTTAAAGGTTAAAATGCGTTTTACGTTTTTGTATTATGTGGCATTTGAACAACACACAAACAACAGTAATACCTAAAACAAACAAAAAAAATTAATGGAGTGACAAAGTTAGACAATATATTTGACTATTTTAAATTTGTATTTCTGCACCTTTCAGATGCAATCACTACAACAGAACACTGTTTTCAGACAGTTTGTTACCCTACTACTACCGGGTGTGTCTTTATAGGATTATATATACTAGTGCAAACACCGGTTTGATGAATTTCAACTCCAGCTGTTATACAGTCACTACAAGTACTTGATGAAAGGAATAAACTAAAACTCACAGCATCTGCTTTTCTAAGAGCTAACAGGACAAAAAGTTTACTTGCCCAACTCCATGGAAAGCCCTTTTTTTAAATGAAAATTATTGAGTAATTTGGAAATTACTTTTCACAGTAAAATAATCTCGCATTTCTGGAGTCTGAATGTATTCCGTTGTCAAAAAATAGTTTTAAACATTATTATAGCTAACTAGGTTAAAAGTAAATTCTCAGTACTACTAAAAGTATAACTGAGTTTTATAAAGCTTTTACTTACCAGCACAAATGAATTCCTTTTGAAGGACACTTCATTATCCTATATACCATGTAACAAGGTACTTAATAGATTTTAATACAATGTAAGCAAATTGCAACATTCAATATTCAAATATTTCAGAGTTTGGTTCACAGCTCAGTCTTTAAAAAAACCCCACAAACAAAGACCCAAACAAGCAAAAAAAAGAGAGCAAAGTATTACACCACTTTCTGTTCTTATCAATAATAAGTTTTCCTGCCTTTAAATGTATCTTCCTTCATTCACCAAGTTTACTATTGCACATCTTATGCACATTTTCTAGCACTTTATATGCCAGAAACTACTTAGCATGTGGCCTTGTGTATCATCATAATGTACATACATTAAATCTAAAAAAATTAAACAAAAGCAACTTTTATACAAAAGCAGTCTGTGTAAACATATTACTTTGACATATTATTTAATAACACATTGTACAATATAACAGGAATAGTAATATCAGTTGAATTATAATTTTGCAGCCAGTTGGTCTTTGCAATAAAGTAACATCAGATCTCGCATTTTGATAACTTCACCTGTCCAACTCATCTAACTTTAACTTCAACGGAAAGGAACAATCTATCCTACCTTGTGAAATACTGCCTGAATTTAAACACCCTAGGAAAGTTTTGTGTTCCTATTGATGCAAAGACCTTCAAAAGAAGTATTTATACATTCAGAAATTATCACATTTCCAGAAAAGAGCTTAGAAAACACTTACCTACAATTGCAATAAGAACCAATATAGAAGAAAGATAACACAAAATGCACACAGCATCGTAGCTGCTGTGTGCAAAAATATTTTGTAATACTGAAGAAAACACATCACAAATTAGGCAAGCCATTCATTTACAGGCCAAATTTGCAAAAACAATTTAGGTTCTTGGGTATTTCAACAGTTATGAGTGCCTTCAAAATTGATGTCTGTCCCGAGAGCTGTGAAAACAGGCAATGCTAGGCAACCCAAAAATGCAGGTAGGCAATAGGATGAGGAGATCTATGAAAATTTGACCAAAATGGCTAGCTGCCAATTCACAAAACATGATGCTTCCAGCATATGCAAAACATATGGATATAATTTAATTTATTTTTTTTTTCCCCCTAACCAACCACCACTTTGGACAGTGCAAAGATGGGAATTTCAAATATTACTTTTTTTCCCCACAATGCTATACAAAGCCAACCACTACCATGAGCAGTTTGGTTTTCTTGAACTGCCTCCTAAAAAAAGAGAATCACATCAAATTAATTGTCTACCCATCTTTCTACTCTTTTCCCCTCCCAATCATTATGAAGAAGATTCATAGTATTTTACTTTCTATTGTCCTTCAAAGAATTTTTACAGAGCAACATTCATTTTTCCTTTTCACAATGCAATACAATATACATCAATTTGGAGTGGAGAACGAGAATTCAATTTCAATTACATGAGAAACTGATATCTGCATATTTGATAGGCTTCATAGATTTTCTCAAAAGCATTAAGATAATCAACTCCGTGCTTTTTCATCCAAAAATCTGGAAAATAGAGAGCTACTACATCTGTAATAATGCTCACACAGAGTTACAAAAAAATTAAATACATTTGCCTATCTTGACTTGAGACTGAACGGAGAAAACAAACATTCTAAATTACTGTTTTAAATCATTATTGATTATTTTAATAAAGTTGGGTTTTGACGTTGCACACTATTACCTTGGACTACACAAAAAAAAAAAGGTAGTCACTAAAAATTCAGCACCACTTAGAAAACTCATTTCATATGGGAGAATGTTTTCTGAATACTTACATTATAGTATTTTCTGATGTAGCGTCTAATATCCAACAGCAATTTGTTGTTCATTTGAACCACAGAGTTGCAAGGAGGTTCTTCACATTCAGGCTTACTGCACCTTTGCAAACTGGGTTCAATAAATCGCCCCTGAAAACAGAAGTGTAAAACCAGCATGCATCATGACAACAGATGATGGTAGCAGAAGTTATCACAAGAATTCAGACATAAGACATATTCTTTTAAAAAATGAACGGCCTCTAATATCTAGGCCTTCTTTCCTCCCATCACAGTTGGTCATACCCATATAAAGATTTCTCTGACCTACAGTTTTCCCATTCTCTTCTTAATGACAGGTCTTCTGGAGAACAATGCTTCTTCATCTACTACAAAGTTAATAATTCCAAAAATGATGTTGAGGAAAAAAAAAAAAAAAATCTATGGACAAATCATGCTCCCCTGTCTCCCCCCAAACAACAGAGGTTTGTTGTTTTATCAGGGACACCAACGTTCTGACCAAGCCCACTGATCGGAAAATTGAAATCAACCTTCTAGATACCAATTACGAAATTACCAACAGGGCAGTAGAGACAAACCTCATTAAACAAGAATGAGATGATAATTTTTATTTTCTCCAAATGCAAAGAACAGCTCTTACAGTTTTACATCATCTTATTCCCCTCATTTTCAAAACTTTCTGAATGCCTGACATTAAAATTTCAGAACCTGGAAGTGATGCGTGAACAGCTGAAATTAAATTGGTAGAATTCTCACTAAAATAAGAACAAGCTAGGAGGTTGGACACTTACACAACTTTTAGAAAATTTTCTTTCCAGGTAAGACTTAGCTTTCGTGAGTCATCTTGGCTAAATCTCTACCTACAACACTAAAAAATTCCAGTTTTTGGTTGGTTGTGCATTTTGTTGTTTTTTGGGTTTGTTTTTTGATGTTTTTTTTTTTTTAAAAAAAAGAGTTTGACATCCACTTCTCCCCAGTTAGCCCATCTGCAAGTTGTCAAGCCTACATTCAATTAACTATCTTATTTACAGCTGTAATGAACAAAAGTCAAGGATTCACAAAGTATCACTCGATTTGTGCGTCTTTTCATCTTACTTGCTTCCAAACATTGCTTTATTTTGATTCAAAAAAATGCAAAACATCTGCTGTTTGTCCAAATTAACTTAAAATAATTACTTTTAATTTAGATAAAAGATTTATTTGCTTTCAGTTTCAAGGTTTTCACTACTCTGAAGCTCGCTAATTTGCCAATGACTAATACATGCATAACATTGCTGTAGAGTTAAATACTTGGCCCTACTTCAATTTGTGATCCAAGGTCAGAGATACATTTTTTTGGCAGAACTTCTCAACAAGAATGTACTCCTATGACTTTTTATGTTCGATACACAAAGACAGAAGGAGAGATAACACAGGAAAACCTTGCTGTCAAGAAGGGAAGTGGGATGTAGCAAGATAAACACAAGTTTCAAAAACACTTTGTTCCAATTAACATGATTTAGGATAAGAAATTGCCATTGCTATATGAAAGTTTCATTAAACAGAGAACTGGAAGTTACTAAGGTGTTAAGATAAGAATTCCTTAAAAAGTTAGAGCAACCATCATTCATGACTGTGGGCAAACAGATTAATGAAGCCAGATAATCTCATATGTTCTGCTAGACGACACAGCTGAAATACCAAAATGGGAAAAATATTTCAGCACTATCCTATCAGCAAATTTCTGTTCCAAACCTATAAATAGCAGGACTCAAACAATATTGTATCTTCTCCTACATCATATGAATCCTATCTGAAAAGCTGTTCTCTCTAGAAGTATTTTTGTCCTTCACCGATGAACAGAAATTAAACAGAAAAAAAACTAACCGAACAATCAAAGACATTGTCATAAATATTTTCTGTTCCGCATTTGAGGCAGCAAAACTTGAATCTTTCACAATCCCTATATTTCTCCTCATCAGTGAGCTGAGCTGGGCCACCAACCAAGGCATCATTCTCCTCATCTTTATGGTAATGGTGATGCACTCTGAATTGGGAGGGATCCAGTCCTATTAATAAGAAACAAAAATTTCAAAAGACTAAGAGGTCAACCATGCAAGCAGGCTCATTTTTCATATGCTTGGTGAAGCAGATTCAAAAGAAAGTTACAAAATGTAAATTCAGAAGCTGAAAATCTCTCCTTAGCAAAACCTCTTCTACAAAATACAATTACATTTTACAATTTTTAACCACGAACAAAGGTTCAGGAAACATGAAGAAATCTTCTTACTTATCTTCTTACGCAAGATTGCTTTATAAATAAAACAAGCACACTGCATTATCATGGGAGTATGCAACAGAACGTCTTGTTTCTGAGGAAAACACTCCTAACGGATGGCTTTATTGTTATTTTCTTCTTAAGTTACATTGCAAATATTTCAATAAAAATGTGCATCGTTATTAAGAAACAGTCTTTAAATCAAAATGGCACCATTAAAACTGAAAACAGAGAATAAAAACCCCATTAAAGAAATGCGGGTGCACTGCTATTACCAACTCCTTCAAGTTCGTATACAACTGCCAACTCTGATTTCAATGCAGTGGTCGATTTCATTTTGGCTCAGTGGTTAACAGCATGTAGGTTTCAATCTAATGCAGTGGTTAAAATTCAGCAGCAGCATTTAAAACGGCAGCGCTGGAGACAGAATGCTTTCTTTTTGATTGCCAGAACTCAAGATTTTAAACAAATAAATACACAAGAGAGATCCTAAAAATACTGATTCAACCACAAATAAGTAAATAAGCAAGCAGGCACGAAGTTCACTGCCCTAGGAACAAGATTGCCAAAGTAAACTTAATAAAAATCCACAGGTTTTGTCATCCTTTGTCATGTACAATCTTTTAGAAGTCCATGTACCCCATTTTACAGGTTTTTTTGTTAACTCTAGCAAATAGCACATGCTAGAAAACAAAACTTAATCGAATGAGCATGTAGAAGAAAACATTCAGAAAACTATGGCTTGCTTTATTATTAAGAAGAAGAGATCAAAGAGAAGCACTTAAAAAATATATTTAACAGACACTAATTAAGGCAAGTAACACATTATCATGTATTAACCCACATCTTGTATAAATTTCAGTTACAAATGTAGTAATTACTACTGAAAGAGCAAGAAAGATTACAAATTGAAAGTAAAGCTAGATTTTACAGTTCTTCTTAACCTTACTATACAGTACAGGGAGACTTAAAGACAATGTTTGGGAACAATATTCAGTTAACCTAGACAAATATCATTACAAATACAAAACAGCTGTATTATACAGAAAGCTACAGATTACCTTTACATAAAAAGTTTTTATATATGTGACTTTACTATCACTATTCTGAATTTCTATTTTGCAATCATAAAACAAATTCAAGGACAAGGGAAAATTCCACTGCAAATAATTTTATTTGGGTCTTGATAGAATAGGGGATTCACAAAAATTTAATCAATCTTCCCAATTTTAATTTTATGAAAAGAAACAAATGTCAATGCATAGGGATAAAAATTCACCTCCAAGAGGTTCTTAACTTTTAATGCAGTTCTCTACTACTCATTAAAAGCAAGCACAAACAAAGTAAAAAACATTGCTAATAGCTTATTTTACACTCCAATACATATACTACCTCCAAAAAAAGACTGTGATGTTTTGTTTGGGGTTGGGGTTTTTTTTCCCCTCTTTTTTTTTAAAGGGTTGGCAATATATTTGCTGTTTTAGAAAACAAAGAGTACATTCTGCAACACACAGGTAGTAGATAAAAGGCTTAGAAAGGGAACTTGAATTTAGTATTAAGATTTTGCAAAAAAAACCCTAAGTATGTAGTAGGTTGGATCTAAGACAATACTGGTGAATACATACAAAAATTCTCCATTTACTCTGAGTTCAGAAGTGGAATGAAAAAGACTGTTGCAACTTTCTCATACAAACACCATTAAAGTTCAAATAGAAATCTATCTTTGGTTGTTTCCCAAATAGTAAATATAGAGCAAACCAGTTCACTAAATAAAAGATAAAAGGTGATAAATTCTGGTCTTCAGACAACTGCAGTTTTCCAATATTTGGTCAAAACCAGTGACAGCAAATAAGCATGTGGCGATTTGGTAATAATTTAACAGGAAAAAAAAAGTAATTCATTGGAAGAATTTAAATCACACCTATCTCTGAACTTTCTTGGCTGTTTTGGCTGGAGAAAACAACAGGAAAAATATTGTGATGATTCAAACGTACATCTAACTTTTGGTGTGCAAACAGTCATAGTGAAATCAAAGGGACTACAAATCAGTCTTTTAGAGAACATGCCTACCTTAATTATCTGTGGAATTGGGACCTATTTCATCTATTATGTCCTTTCAGGAATAGTTAGTTGGTTCAATTAATCCATTTCAACATACTAACTGGTATCCTCTCGGACCAGGTCACACTGGTCATATTACTCTACTTGGTAAACAAAACAAGGACTACTTGATTTGGGGGGAGTGGGGGTGTGGAAATCTGGTTTTGGTAATTTTTAAATGAATAGGATGAGACTAATCAGCGAACTTCTTTGAACTCTTACTTTTTTTCCACGACATCAAGAAAAATCAAAGGGACTTTGACATACTCTGAAATGAAAATCTTCAGGGCCATCATCACATTACCTGCACTACAGGTAAGCTTTCCAACCTCACCAAAACTGCAAGGTTGCATGCACGAGACAGAAACGTAACAGTAAAAATACGCTGATGAACTCAGCGTGACAAAAGCAACTAATAAAAGTATGTTCCAGGACTTGTCCCTTAATTATTTAATAGACTTACATTTACTAACTAGCAAGCAAAAAAAAAGGGCACTCAGGAAACTGAAAAAAGATCAAATCAGTTTTACTACTCGCAGTATTTTTAAAATAAAATGTCTGCAGGTCGCTTTCACGCGTCTCTCCGCACACACCCCCATCCCCGCTCCCGCACCCTCCCCAGGGCAGGCAGCGCGGCAGCAGCGCCCGGAGCCCGGGGGGGCGCGGGCCGCCGAACAAAGCCCGAGGACTTTTCCCTGGATTTGGCCTTTCAAGCGCAGGTCGGTCGGGAAGCACAGAAAGTTTTTCCCCGTG